GTACGGTTCCAGGTAGAATTTTACACTACAACCTTTTTACACTTCATATGTAGTGTAAAAGCTGTAGTGTAAAATTAGAGGGACCCTTTTCTTAAGACCTTTCGTGGTTTTGAAATTGAGGAAATTCAAACTTGTTTCATACGTTTTTTTATAATCTGATGAAAAACAAATCTCAAGCTATGACAATCAAATCTGTAATCAATTTTTTCCCATGTATGTTTTCACAGAAGAGAGGTATCTTTATAATATCATTTAAATCCATCTTGGAGGAATTCGAAATGAGAACATTGTACTCAACTAGAAGTTTATAATCCACCTGTTATAATCACAGGATTTGATTTCGATTAAGAATTCAATGAATTTTGATCTAAGCAGTTCCAAAGTCACATTCGAAATCAGCTGACCTTCTGTTTGATGAAAAGGCAAGAGCATTTTAATTGGTAATTAGTTGCTATTTTGATGTTTGTCTATGGTGACAATTATGCGAAAGGCTTACATACCGTTGAATTTCGAATTTGAGATGATAAACAGTTCAATTCTTGGATGCTGAGTTGATTAAAACAAATCTTGAGTAATTCGATTGGTAGGTTAGTAATTTTTGATTTTCTCATTCCTTGTCGTTGTTTTCTTATTTAGTATATTCAAGGCTCACTAAAGGAAACATATCCATCTGTGAACATTTCACTGATCTGTGACATTTCTGTTTTCATCTAAATTCGGAAATTTGCGGATCGTCCAATCTGCATGAGCACCAACATCCACCACCAATCGGCCGGCGCCGTGGAAGCGTACATAAACGTTTGCAAGGTACGCTTGGCGGACGTGCTTCTCAGCGGAACGCGGTTGAGTAAGCACTGAGCAGTTCAGCTTGAAAGGATATCAATTTCGGATCACGGATTGCAAACTGTGAAAGGGCCAACTTGTAAAGTCCCTCAAACTGAACTGTGGAGTCCCATGAAGACCCACACCCTCCCTCACCCCGCTAGCGGTCTGCCGTGAGGATAGGTTTGCGTTGATTGCTAGTATACGAAATCCACATTAAACTTGCATGGTACATCTTAATTTAAGCGATGGTCGACTCCTCGAAACCCTCAAATCAGTCTGAAGAAATGGATGACCACTTGGCCTGGTACAACGTTCGACGGGTCCGGCCCAATTGATTCCAACGGGTAATCAATCTTTGATAAACGCCAAACCAATTGTCATGTTCTACACCTCAAATCTCAAGATTTTGTGTGAAATTTGATCTTTGTATGGTTGGGAGCCTTCGACTTTCTTTGTTCCGGAACCAATGGCAGACAGACTATTTGTCTGTTTTGATTCAACAGCAATGATCTTGAGTTCAGAGAGATAAGAACACCAAATCTAATCAAAAGCCAATCATTCGAGTGTTGGTTTGATTTGGAGTATCTGACGTGATGTTTGGGACAACCAGCTTTATGAATGAAGAAGATAACTTTTTATCCCAGCAAGGTCTTTTGTTCAAAATGCAAACATATGTATGCCTTGTTGAATTCATCAATACTCAAATGGACTTCTTATGCTGATAATTCTGAATCTCAAAATGATCAGGATTCATCTTTTGAAACATTCAGAATACTTAATCATTACATTGGAAAATTTATACTCAATCAGTATAATGGAATGATATAATCAGAAGACATATATGGAACATAATAAAAAGATGAAGCTCTTGAACCTCATCATCAACCCATCATGATGATTTTTGCATCTATAATCAATATTATTACAAGTATAATATGACAAAATTCACAACCATTTGGGAGAGATAATGCTGAACTTTTTAAATATTTATCTGGAGCTTTGGAAATCCTATGAATCAATCAAGAGTACATTGGTTGATTTCTTATCAACCTAAGTAATACTTGATCAAATCAATTCAAACATTTAACACCATGGCAAAAATTGACCCACAATATCCTGCACCTTTAGCGGCTGATCTTCTATTTGGGTTTTCTGATATGACTGTGTTAAGAGAACTCGGAAGTCAAGAACATGCACTTTCAGACAATTTATCATACAAGAGTACACTTTAAGCTTTATTTGATTTAGGTTGTTCCACACTTTTGGTTGAAACATAGTTAAACCTTGTACCTCAATCAATTCTAGCTAAACTTAATTGGGCATGAATTGAATTGATCAATCCATAAAATTATTAAATCAAGCAATTAGTTGAATCAAGACAGAAATCATAGAAGCATCAAATCAAATAGAAAAAACTTTTAAACTTTTAATGGAACATTAAAAGACTCAAAGACTTGAATGGATTAAATCCCTTTGAGCAAATTTTTTAATAAAGGTACAAGTTACCCTTGCCTTCACCTTCCAATTAAAATGAAGTATTACATCATTTGAACCTATTCCTCTTCGCCGAGTCTATCTACCCTCAACAATGTACTAACTTTGCATATTCCCCTATTTTTGACATGAGCTCAGTTCCTCTTTTCTATGTCTTGTTTAGTTTTCATGAATCTGTTCTATACCTTTCTTTTTACATTCAAAAATTCAGTTTGTTTTTTGTGTTGTATAAACACTTGGTATTTTTTTGAACTTTGGAAAAATGATTTTGCTATTTTTTTGAATCAGTTTTTTATTTGATTGCTGTTTTTTGGACTTTTTTCCTTTTTTTGGTTAGTTATGTTTTCAAGATTTTCTTTTTCTAAGATACACATTAATTTTTGAACTTGATTGAAATCAATGAATTCACACAGGAATTTGTCAAGGCTTATGTTTCATCTATTTTTTCCCTACTGTATGTACCTCAATAGTTGTATGAAATTAAGCTTCAAGACTGTATTCATCAGGCTTAGGGGCGGGCAAGCCCGCCTAAGGTCTAGTAGTTAAGTTAATCTTAACATGACCTTGGACCTGAGCCCTTACATCTTTGATACCAATTTCATCGGTAACATCGAGCAGTTTTCAAGCTTATTTGGGCACTTTTGTACATGTTACATTGGCGACATGCTGTTTTTCACGAAAATCCCTCCTTGACATGCCATTTGATACAGAATTGATACCTGTATGGGCTGTTTTCATCGGTATGTTTTTTTCAGATTTCGCCGATTGATACGTTTTTCATCGGTAACCTAGCCAAATTCTCAACCCTCAATTAATACGTTTTTCATCGGATGGTTCTGTAGGGGCTTTCCGGGGTCCTGTACAAGCCCCACCACCCCTCACCACCCCTTTCAAAGCTAGTGAAAGCCTTACTTACCAGTGACACAAGCTGTGACAGTAATGTCCAGCCGCACTGAAAGGTCTCTGGATTTTGTTTTCTCAAGTTTGCTCACAAAATATCCTCTTGGCTCAGCAATTCACTCATTCAATCAAATTCAAGTATTGAATATGAATAACCGGATGCCGTGAATGAATATTACTCCTACCAATTGAAAAAGAAGACCGATCGAAAATCAAGATATTGAAGATCAATAGGTCAGACCGATTCAAAATCAATATGTACCAGAACAATAGATTTTTCTTTTGTTTACTGAGTTTCATCAACTGAAGAATCAGTAGCTCTTTTTAAAAAAGCTTGCTCCAGAATTTAAAGAAAACATTGTTGAAAAACTGAAAATCTATGAGCAACTGTAGATTTTTAGTTTTTCAATGAGGATTTTATTAGTTCTGGAGCACACCTTTTTCAATCTCATTTGGAGCACACCATTGGTCTTGGTGTTTGATCCGATTCCCACTAAGCTTAACTAAGCCGCGCGAGAGGGGCTTAGTTAAGCTTAGATTCCCACTAATCAGATTTGAAAACAGACGGAATTTATGGCTGCCACTAGATTTTGTAGAATTGTCAGACATTTAAAGGCTTTTGCCAGTAACAACCATACATAAGCTCGGTGAGGTACAAACCTTGCTCTCAAACCTGGATTGAACTAACTGTGTAGCCTTTCTTGACGCCTTTCTTGACTTGTGCAGCGTGCTTCGCCTCTGGTTGGGATTCCCCCTGGGATTCGGGAACTTGATGGACGTCCTGGAGGCTGGAATCTTTAGGAACTCCTGAAAAGCTCTCATTTGTGCTTGCAGCCCACGAGGCTTGTCCCAAACTTCCAACGTTGGACCAGGTTTTTGAAATCCTTCAGACTCCTTCGGCGGCTGGCGCAGAAGTAGCTCAATCGACTATACATACAATTCTCTTGAGGTCCCCGGCCGGTCTCGACTCTCACCTGCACCGCCTGGTCTCACGCCGAGCTTGGTTTTCCATTTCGCAAAAAGATTGTTTATGTAATGGTGGCTCAACTCAACATGGCGTTCGAAAGTTCGAAAGTTGAGTATTGCAAATTCAAACCCAACTCTCAAGATGAGTCAGCAGGGTAAAAACATCACAGTGACATGCAGGGAACTCAGTCCGGCGGTCAAAAGGGGGCTCTTCTCTCTGCACCTCTCAATTCTCAATATATATACTTATAAGGTCGGGAGGGCAAAGTAAGTGCGCATGACCGATAGTAACTGCACAACAGTTATAAAGCTGACTCACTTTTCATCGTAACCTAGGCGTTTGGTTTGGTGAAGTGCAGTTTCTGCCTTGAATGCGCCTGGTGTTGTATTGCGATAATTGTTGTTGGCCCACTAGGGCCCAGTCTCCCTGAAAAGCAAGGAACGGCAGATACAGTAACTGGGCTTCAGCCTTCAGTGGCGTGCCTTGTTCGCAATCATCTTTGCTTCTCCAGGCAACTTAAACGTCTTTTGGCCACTGGATCTACCCTGCCCTACCGATATTTGAGCAAGCATACGGTCATCGCAGCTTTCCATCACGTTTATTCTCTTAGTTCTTTTTAAACTTATCATTCAATTTTTTTTGCAAGATCACATTATTCCTCACATGTACAGTAAACCAAGTACTGCGTTTCCGTTACTACAGTCTTGAAAAAGTTCTATATATTTACATCTCAACTATTTTGAAAGCTCCCGAAGAACCTTCATCACCTATCGATACTTCAACCGTTCCTCGGATTTTCCAAGAAATTGACGAAATGTTTTTCAAGAACTCACCATCGATCTTTCCTGAAGATCGAAAACTTCAACCCAAACGAGAGACATTGAAGTTTTCGAGTTTATTAAGCTTACCCAACCGAATTATCAAACCCCCGGTGGTACCGAAGGCTTCCTCGTCCGCCGATGCTCCAAAGAAGGAAAAAAGAAAGTTTGAGTTCGGGAAAGTGCGAACGTGGTCAAGGTGTTCGATGACAGAGGTCAGTCAATCCACTCATTTATGTTTACTCATTAGATTCATTACTCTGCACCGAATTTGCATTCACTTTGTTGACGTGTCGTCTTATGAGTTCAGGTCAAGTTGAATGATATCCTTTTCGGACTACATACACCGCCCTTGACGCTCGGTGAATTTGAGGACTACCTCCTCCATGTTGAACATACCCCGGAAAATCTGTAAGCTTTTTCTTTTCGTAATACCACTCGATACATCTAGACTAATACATCCTATGTGTCCTCTTTATGATGAAGGTACTTCTATTTTTGGTTAAGAGACTACACTACCCGCTACCATCAATGGGGAGCTGGTCGAAGTAAGCCAGACGTCAATAATAGTATGAGGTTGACATTAGCTGAGAAGCGTGAGGGTCAGTATACTCCTATGTTTACGTTGACTTCGTCATGGGAGGTGTACATCTGATGTTCCACCCAACTCTTTTCTGCACAGCTTACAATCAATTGTCGCAACAAGAAGCCTCTTCCGAGATTGCCAAAAACGGATTACCCGTAGAATTGAATGAATCCCTGGAAATGGCCATCAGCACGTTCTTGTATGGTCAGCCTGCGAAGCGCCACCGTTCGCCCTCGAGCATCGAGCTTGAGTTGAATCTTCCAGCGGATGTTAAAGATCGAATCAAGCTTGAGTCCACTCTGAGCGGTCACCCATCTATATTCGATTTGGTCGAGAAAGAAGTGATGAATATGTTAGAAGAATCCATGAAACGCTGGTTGGTCCTCAGCTCTGGAAATGCCGACCGACTCCGGTATGTTGCGAACACAAGCATCTCTCATTGAACAATACATTGTCAAACACCGGGCTACACCCTCCGCTTTTTCTTTGCTCATTCGTCATATCTTTCCTCTACATTCGCCTTTCGCCTTTTCTCGCCCTCGCACTCACCCCTGTGCTGGCACATCTCATTGTTTAATTTGATTTTATCATCATGTCGTTTTTTCTCATCCGGAAATTGTCTCAAACCTAGTGTTTGGTTTGCGATCGCTCTTGGCACCATGTGTGTTATCATAGCCATCACCGGCGCATTGCTCCTCAATTATCTCACGAGCTCTCCTCGTCTCAGGCTTGTGACCACCCCACTTTTCTGGTTAGGCATCATCACCTTGACTTGCGGACTACATCGTACCTGTCCCGTCATCTTTCTCTTTGGTTCTTACCGGCAAATCCACGCCTGGGAAGCCGTCCGCCAACCCGAGGATTCGCCTCTTCCAGCATCTTCCGGCACGCATATAAACCTCCACAACGCCATCACACTCCCTAATGCCACTCATGCCAAACCTCAAAATTGGCCCCGCAAGAACCAGAGCTACCAGCCTCCACCTGCTACAACAGATCCTAAGAACCTTCTCACCGCATGGGACTCCGTTTTGTCCGATGATCCGAACATTTTAAAACCTGCATTACTCTCCTCTCAACCATCTACCCCTACACTGGATAACCCACTTCTTTCACGCTTGAATAAATTTTTTATCCCGAGCAAGGATCTCAAAGCTACGCCAATCTTTGGTCCAGTTACTCGAGTCTTCAGTCCGCTGGTGATGCGTGCTCAACGGAGGTACGTTTTTACCGCGGTCGCTTGGGCTACGTTGTTTACAACCGTTTGGATCCCATTTTGGCTCTTGATTCCCTCGCCCTTCCAACGTCATGATTAGACACCTTTTCTCTCTGTCTTCGTTTTTTCGCATCTCCTCGCTTCACTGATGCAGTGTTGTACTTTTAACTTGTTTTTGTTGACGCAAGATCTCGGAGATTATCCTCCATTTACTCTTTCCTAGCTTGCAAAAAAAGGTTGTAAGATGTTTATAAAGACGGTTGTTTTGGGACACCTATCATTATCATTTACACTTGTAGTTTTTTCTTCGCTATTCTTGTCATCATTCAACCTCTTGATTGATTGGTCATCATTTTTTTTGTTTAATTTCCCTCTTTGATGTTTTCTCTGGTATTTTTGTGTGTGCGGGGTTACGGTTCGAAATCTTATATCAAAATTACAACCACTGGCAACAGGTTCTGGTCACCTCACATGAGCCAAAATCAAATTTTTCATTTGGTCAATTAGCTCCATCATACCAATTCAAGCACAGCTTACAAATGAATGCTTAAAAAAAATGCCTGGGTAACCACCACCTATAAATATCCGTGTAGCACGTTGACGTGCACACACGGAGAGTTTTGAAATAAATCTCAAAGTCTTTTGGTCAGATTGAGACTGAGATTTTTGTTGAGCACCCTTTGTGCTTTGTGATTTGTTTAAAGGATTTGCAGAATCCTTTGTTGTCAGTGGGGGCCAACTGACTTTCAACCTCCCAGGTGATAAGGGGGAGATGTACTTGTCGTGGAACCTCTTTGATGGGCCATTACAGGGTCCAAGGAAAGTCTTTCGTGTGTGCACGTTGACGTGCTACACGGATATTTACAAGGTGCACAAAACAGCTCCATCACAAAAGTTTGACTCATAATTGAAGCAGAGAATATGTCAGACTGTCCTTATTGCACATGTGAAGGACGTTGTTTGGAAGCGGTTGGATTGAACCATGGGTGGCTCCCAGCTAAATGCACTACTCAGTAAAATGAATCCACATGGAGGTGCAGGGCTTGAGGTGTGTACCAATGGAATCAACATTTATGACATATCAACTGTCTAATTAAAACATAGGAACCAAAATTGAAACATCAATTTTCCAGAAAAAGTAGAATCCTTACTTGCTACCACGGCTCAACTTTGTGCACATGTCTTGGCAAAAATACTTGATTGCCACAAAAACAAATCTGTGGGGGGTGAGGCAGTAGACACACTGGCCAGGGTGGGTCTCTGTATGGTGAGCATAGTGCTGGGTAAGAGCAAATAAAGATTGTTGATCTTTGCTCTAGAAAGTTGATGTTCAATCTCACAGCTGGTGTGACTTGAGGATAATTGATGAGTGGACATTTTTTTCTCAATGTTTGCATGCTCTTTTGGAAAAGCTTTAATTGCCTTGCTCAAAGTGTATTCTCTAGAGATGTTCATACCCTAGGCACTATTGCTCCTTAGGGCACCTGTAATACTGACATTCAAAGACTTTGTGGTTTCATTTGAACTGTTAGTTGCATGTTGATTTTCAATGGAACAGACTGCACTTGATATATTCACTCAGAATGAATGCTGAAAGCATGAGGCATATAATGGAGTTATAAAGTAAGGGCATTTAAATTGAAGCTACATGAGGTTCTTGTAAAGTCAATGATGCACATCTGTTTGAGTATCTTGACTCTTTTCCCTGCATGAACAAGATACATATGTTGAAATTCTCTCAAAGTATCAGTCCTCTGATTTGTTACTGTATTTGGGATCTGAATATGTCAACTTTGTTTACTTCCTGGTTCTAATTTTCAGACTAAAATGCCAAACTGTTCAAGTATATTTGAAAAGTCCCGGTGCAAGGGTTTTTGTACCCACATTACAAGGAGTTAGATTAAGACCATCAGGGCTGAAGGAAAGGTCTAAAAGTAGGAAATAGCAAGAGTCTCATCAAAATGATACTTTTCATGAAAACATAGGAGAATCAAGCATAGACATTAGAGCCTGACCAAAGTTTCTACCCTTGAGTTAGCCTCTCTGTATCAACAAATGAATAAAACGTATTTTGACTCCTGGTTTGTGCTACAAAAACTCTACATTTCTTCAGGCCAAGAGATTTCAGGAGTGTGGGTTTATCCATGCTCCCCCTGATCAAAAAGTGCGTTTGTCCAATCAAATTAGCAAATGTACTACAGTCAACGCCCGAACCAATCCGACACAAAAGCCAGTATCGTATTGGTATTGTATTGCCAATCCGACATCAAAAGTCGGATTTCTCCATATTGCTTCACCCAACCCGACATGAGAAGTCCCCTTTTTTCATATCGGGTATCGGCGACGCGATACAGGATGGAGGCGATTTGGCTTTTTCCTACTTAAAAAGCCTTGCAACCAATTTTTAAGTACGGTATCGGCTCGTATCGCTTCAGCGACACAATATGGCCGACCGAATTTTTGGATTTTTTTTTGTCCTCATATTGTATTGGGTATTGGTCTGAATATATGGGTTGGCGGATACGACATGGAAACCCTCCGAAAAGTCATATTGTGTCGGATTGGTTTGGGCATTGCTACAGTTGAACCAGTCTAGTCTCAACCACAGGCCGGCCCCGGGTCCGGCCCCAAGACCCAAATTTTGGCCTCTCCAGAATACCTTGGAGGCCCTCCGGAAGACCAGACTTGAGCACTTAAGTATTGAGCTTAAGTACTTAGGTACTCAAGTTAAGTACTTAAGTACTTGGGTTGAGTACTTAAGTCCTTACGTACTTAATATTAGGCCGCCTAAGGTACCTAGACCCAAATACTGAGGTTTTGGGGAAAAAAAATCAAAAAGAAATGGCCCATCAGATCAACTTTTCAAGTCATTCCCGACAATAACACCATGTAAGAGCATCTCCTATTGTCTCGGTAAACGGCTTTGGTACGGTAAAATTCCCAATCGTGTCAAAAACATCGGTACCCACAGAATCCCAGCCAATCATATGTAGTACAACTCATCCTCAAAAACAATCGCACTCTATCAGACTATCCCACTACACCTGTATGTACATCACCATCAAACATCAGTTTGGAGGTGTTGGTACCTTTGTGAATTCTTCACTTTTCAGATCAATTGTCTTCAAACAATCATATTCACAAAATGTTTGTTTTCTAATTGATCATTTTCAAAGTAATCGTTTTCAAATCGATCGTTTTCAAAGTACCATTGTTTTCAAATCAATCGTTATTGAATTGATTGTTTTTGAACCGATTGTTCTCAAATCAATTGTTCTCAAACCAATCATCTCGTTCTCAAAGTTATTGTTTTGAAATCAGTTATCATCAGATCAGTTGTGTTCTTTGCAAACTGATTCCTCTCGAATGGATGTTTGTCTGATAGAAAAATTTCCAACCATAAGTTTTTGAAACCCCAAGTGTGAGATTTGCAGTTCTTTTACCAAATGCACAATAGTAGGAATGTGGTGTTTCTGTACTGTACTTTGTTTGAGATAAAGCAACGATAGTGGATTTCCACTGTTCTGTATCTAATGATACTGTACCGAGTGAGTATGTACAGAAAATTTACTGTAGATTTACTGAAACAATAGGAGATGCTCTAATAAGCCCAAAAATCACTTTTTACATGATGTTTATCAGTATGAGTCATGTGTATAAATTTCTGTAATGAAATTTTGTTTCTGCAGAGCAGTTGTGGTTGAGACTAGACTGGTTCAACTGTAATTGTCATTTTTCATTCGGTGTCTTGTATCAGGTTAAACAAGAGAGGCCCATTGTGTCAAGGTACCCGGTGTTGGAATCTTTTTGAATTAAAGCTTTGATTGTTGAAAGAGCTCTGTAGCCCATAAGAAATGTGTCCACAATTAACTCTAATACTGTTACAAGCGAGTGAACAATGCTTAGTGAATAATATTATTATGTAGAGACACTGCAACAATAAGTGTGTAGTTACATACAATGCTGTTGCGGACAAAAATATGGCTGAACAACCCTTGGGGTTCTGAGATGACATAATATGGCGGTGCTTAATCGCAGTCATTCCCGCTCCAAAGGTACACACTATAAAACCCAATACCACGGTAAGTCAGAAAAGCTCAATGTTTTGTGACAGCGGTATGCAAAAGAGCTTTGATCATTCAAACCGAGCTCACCAGAAACTCAACATAACCTTTACGTCGCCTCTTGCCTGCATGATCATCAATCCATATCAGTAACTGTAGGCTGAGAAGACCTGTATCATCCACTCGCAGAGACTTGGTGATCAGTACAAAGAAAAACAAAGGTTGGTCAAGATATGTCAAGCATTGAAGGCTGTGTGGATGATATGGACCTACCGCTTTGCTCGATACGTCTAAAGCTTTCCGGAATTTTAGGATGTGTGAAAGCTTGTATCTATGTGGATCAATTGGCACACGTATTTCACAGAGAGGAATGCAAGGAAAGTAGATCAGAAGATTTTCAAAGCTGAGGTAGACTCAGCAGTGTAGAAGAAAGCTGTACAACGCTCAGCTCACGAATTGTTAACAGATCCAAACTCTTCAAGTTCATCTTGATCGAGACCAGGTGGTAGTTTACAAGTGAAAGATTCCAAGATGTCTTTATCATTCGGAAAATCAACGGCTGATGATCCTAAACTACCTTCCACCTGAATACGAAAATAAGGATGACTAGCTACATTATGAGTTGGCGGTATAGCTTTGTTGGTTGATTGTCTTGGTCTTTTCGGCTGGGGTTCCTTCGTGGCAGTAGTAAGAGGTGGTGAGAAAATAAAGGTGATGTCGGATGCGGTCTTGTCATCGAAGAGAGCAAAAGAAGATCTGAGCCAATCACTCTGCAGGGGTGGATGCAACGCCAGGAGAAGAAAAGCGCAACACTGTCAGCATATTTCCATCAACCACGCTGAAAGATATAGATCCTTGTTGAACAACCTTGAGAATGAGTTGGACGACCTGTCGATCTGCAGGAAAAGTCATATCAGACATTTCACCAGGTTCGTAGGTAACCAATTCACATCGAGTCACGACTCCGCTATCTTCAATTCTAAGAATGGTTGAGAGAGAAGAGATGAGTACAGAATTCAAAGTCAAATATTCAAATAAAGAACGTGGGATGCGATTCTCACCCACAGTAAGACCAAGGGATAACCTTCTCCTTCGTACGTTATCCGAATTGCGCTACATTGCTGTTTCTTTGTTTTGTTCTTCTCATCTCTCATCCTAAACCTTCGAGATTCATCAGATTCGTTATCCCCATCTCCATTTCGGTATTGATCTTGATGGGAGGGTTCAGGAGATGATCTGGAGTGAGATCTTGTGGAAGAAGCAGTGCCAAAGACATTCAAGCATTCGATGAGTGCAGTCAGTGAAACTTCAAATTGAGATTCAGTATCTTCTTGCTCTTCAGCGTTCGGATCTTGAGCTTGACTATCAAGACGACCCCCGCCAGGGTTATTACTACTTGATGGCGAAGAATTAAATTGAGATTGAACCGGTCCCCTTGGGGGTACAGATGATCGATTGGGAGGCGGGTTGTAGGACCATTCGCTAAAACTTTCTTTTTCCATGTACGCGTTGGCTACATATATAAACATATTTAATAGTCAGCATAGGACCAATAGAGACATGGATTTTCTTTGTGGCAATCGGGATCGATAGCGAAACCACAGGCTTGTGATCAACTCGAATCATATAATATACCTTGCATGGTTTTTCCTGCTTCGACTCCGACATGAATCCCAGCATCTGAGATTCGAAAATTTGCTCTAGTGGAGAAGTGAACCGTGGAAAGCAAGACGGCCAAGGGTCGTAAGTCGGGAGTATAGCAATAAAAGACCTACTTCGAAGAAGATGATAATTGATTAATGATTCGCCAAAAAGTGTATGAGACGTCCAAGAGTTCCTCACATGGCTTGTTTCTGACGATTCGACTGACATGGTGAAGGCTTCTTTCTAGCTTGATTATTGAGAAACTTCGCGATTCTCTTGTGTTGACCTTTTCTCGCTCGTAATGCCGTTGGCTGATGCGGTACGTTTTCTGTCGGGGGCAATTTAACGAAACCTTCAACATGAGGTTCGCCTTCCGAATGTGAATAATGGAACGCTGAGAAGTGCTGACCTTCTTATTATCTTCTTCCTTGACCCAACTCTCATGGCGGTGCTTCCTGCACTCTTCCTCGGCTCAATGGATGACAGAGGACACGCGACGGTACCGTGCACAAGCTCCACCCGCCAGTTTTGGTTGGGACCGAGAGGCGCCATGCACCTTCAGCAAGGCTTGATATTATGGATCATATTGATTGATTTCAAGTAAAGCCTCAAGATACTCCTCAGAAGTACCATACAAAAAGCAGCGGGACATCATTACGGGATTTGAACTTTTGCCATTTGAAGCAATTCAAAAACATGAAACACGGTGAGAAAAGAAAGGGTAAGACATGGATCACGCTACCCAAAAGGATGAGGACACATTAGGATGCAAAATTCGAATCTGACGATCCCTGTGGGCTTTGCTAAAAACTATTATTCGTGAGGGATTAAGGGAGCAATGCAACAAGCATGAAACGATTGATCAACGATAAAGATCAAAGGATAAGGAATGTGAATAATCAATGAACAATGAAAAGATGTTAAAGTAGTCATGGTCTTTTATATTTGGGGTATGTAAATTTTTTGAAGCAATTGGGTTTTTCTTGGAGGAAGAAGTTTCAAATCCAGACGAAGTGTGACGGATCCTAGCACCAGAGTGCTGCTATCCTTTTTTGTTTAAAAATGTGAGATGCAGAAATAACTAAAAATTTGGGTAAAATCGACTGTCGGTCATCTTCTACCTGATCAATCAATCAATGTCCGGCCCGCGGTAAATTGTCGATCGAGTGACCATCAGTCTGATCGGAATAGGAAGTGAGATTCAGCATGAAGAGCTTTGTGTTGGAAGGTGAGAGATGCGATCGTATGAGCGTACCTCCGTTGGACTCGGTACAGTCGAAGTAGGAATACTACTACAGTCCATGGTCCTAACCTTGCCAAGATGCCTTTCTGCACGATCAACATCGACCATTGTATAGTCATCCCATTCTGGATGCTCGTGAGTCTTTCCGCCCATCGCACCTGCTCCAGATATTTTGGGGCGAAGAACCCCCGAAGATGAAGAAGCTCCAGGCATGTTCCGGGCATTCGAAGAGCTGTGACCCATGTGATAAGTTGCCGGTTGATAGGGGTTCATAAACTGGTCATGATTGGTGGGATGCGAATAGTGAGCTGGGTTATGACCTGAGTAGATTGAAGGTAGCGCTCCAGAGGCTTCCTGGGGAGAGTAATCCGCAACAGACGAGGGATTTGATAGGTTTGCGGTGCTTATCGGCGTGTAAGATTGCGGAGGTTTGTGAACATATGGACCCCATTCTTGTATGTCTCCAGGATGCATAGTTGTGTGAGTCAGAAGAAGGTTTGAGAGACTGGTAAAACACGAAGAGGTGGACTATGCTAAGTGACATGGTCATCTAGAAGGCAGAACACAATCAGACTCACTAGTCAACCCTCTCGCGCAGATGAGCATTTTCACTCAATATCGCCGCCATATGGACCTCCTGATGTTGGGCTGCTCTCTATGAAAGATGAGATATATATCAGACCTAATTCCATTGACTCATTCAAGACACGAGGATGACGTAGAGTTGGAGGTGAACTCACTTTTCGTCTCTCTCTCATGGCTCTCTGTGCCGCTCGATTCTGTTCTCTTCTCTTCTAATGACAAGATTTACAAAATCATAGATTGAGTCTTCTGCCAAGTATATGATGGAAAACCGCATATGACGGCACTGGTAGCTTACCTCTGAGACTTTGGCATTCGGAGCCTTCTTCCCATTACCTCTCGGGGTCACCTCGGAAGGAACAACGTCCCGATCGATATGCTCCTCTTGGTGTTCAGTAGGCGGACGAGCATCCGGTGTACCATGAGTGTAACGAAATGCTTGGTAGGATGCGTCGACATGATGGGGTGGGAGTCCATGATAGATAGGGTGGTCAGGACCTTCTTCGACTGGACTATAAGTATTGAACTCCTGTTTGGCAACCTCTGGGTCATCTCTGAGGTACAGCGATGCTTCTCTTGCTTGTTGTTCGAACTCCGGGCTCGAGCAAGATGAGGAAGATGAGTCTGGGTTTTGAGGGTAGTTTTTGTAGCCACGCTCAAATCTTACTTCTCCATGTCCTTCGGGTGAAACATATTCAGGAGAGATAGACCCAGAAGATCGCGGTTGATGGATGTGAAGGTCATGTTCGGTAAAGCAATGGGAGGGTGAGAGAATGCGACGAGTAGGAGCTTGTGACTGCTGTTGTGGGTATCCCATCTCCATGGAAGGATGCTCGACGGATGCATGATGATACCCATGGACAGGATTCATCGCAGGTGAGTAATACTCTGACATTTCCGCGATTTGGCCCGATGCCGATGGCCTTCGAAGATCTGGATATACTGGTACCATCTCCATGACTTGACGTATTTCGGAGTTGGCTTGACTCGTGGAGTTGGGAACAGAGGCAACGGAAGATATAGCAGGCATCTGTCGGAGTTGATTCATCGCCCGTCGCGCGCGAAATTGCAGTCGCAATCAATGATGAAAACCTGAATTGAGGGAATACAAGGTAAGGTTCAAACTTGAGAAATCAACGAAAAAGAATGAAATAGACGAGCCCTAAGACTGCTACCGCGGTCGCCGGCTGAAGTAACCTAGTTTGCAGGAGATGTACGAAGTCTTTATAGAGAAGCAATGGAGAGAGGCTCAGTTTCTAAGCCGGATTGGAAAAGGCCACTGATGTACGATTTATCACGATTGAAGATTGCCTGAAGGCCTAGTCAAGGGAAATTGGACAAGTTAAGCACGTACTTTGTGGAGCTGACGGCAGCTCTACGTATATACTGACGAGTAAGGCTCGCTTACAACAGCTATGTTTTTGAAGTGAAGGGAGATGTGGAGCCTGAGGTCATGGTTTTGAAGTAAAATTTTGACATTGAAAACACAACGAAAATTTTTACCGGGAGATCCACGAAGAAAGATACCCCAAGAAAAATCGACACAAACAAAGATTAGTCTTTGAATAGGATTGTATCGACGCGGAAAATTGTATCTTGTAAAACAACTCACCACCCCTACCAAAATTGGGTGTCTACAGAGAATCACGGATTTGCAAATCCAACACTTAACCAAATCCGACGGTATAAGGATCAGGAAGATATGATACAAGGGGTCGCTATATCAACCTGTGGAGTGCTTGATTCAAATCAAAAGCTAAGCCCGAATTGACAAAGGCAAATCCAGTGTTTGATGTGGAATTTTCGAACCTCTATCAATAAATCAACAAAGGGAAGATGAGCATTGACGTGCTGGGCGTGTGTATTGGAGCAGATCGAGCTGAGCGCAGATCCCGAAAACAATAAGGTCTGAAAGTTCTTCAGCACGGGTATACTCTGGAACTCTTCTTTGCTGCACAACAACAATCTTCAATGAGGTGATGGTGTGTTTGTAGCTGACTAACGGCATGGTGACAATGATAAGAGACTCACAGTCTTCGGTAGTGTTGCGGAGGTTCGATGAGATATAGTTCAGCTGACAGAGGCGCGAGGGAGATCGTTTTTCAGGTCTGGAGTTCCTTAAGTTCTGGTACTACAGAGAATCGCGGAAGAAAGCGTGTCTTATGTATGTGCTTGATTTCAAGTTGTGTTTCGCAGTTTAAAAGAAAAGATATCGGGTCGAAATAAGATGGTGATATTTCCCTCCGTTCTCAGAACATGTTGAAAGGGAACACCCAAGAAAGCCAAGATGACTGGGACTTATGAGCATGTTAAAAAAAGTCAGGGGCCCAATTCCGAGCTTCAGATGGCCATCCTCAGTGGTGGAACTAGAATTGGAGTAACTACAAATGATTAGTTGGGGATATGTGAGGCGGAGAGGAGAGAGTGGGCAAACTGAACACGTTGGGCGGCGAGCGTGTTTATCACGGTCAATGAGAAGCCCGAAGCAACTTCAAGCTCCAAGCGATATCTCTCTACTACACTCCTCGGCCCCTTTAATATTAATATCCTCTCCGAAAGCGGTCTTCATGAGCTTCAGAAGGCTCCATCGCCTCCAACGAATACTGTCAATTTCAAGAAGCTTGTCCAATTCTGAGCAGGTGGTCCGGCAAAACTCGAGCAAATTTGCCAAAAACTTTGGCAAGCTTTGTCCTATTACCAGTGTATGTGTATGTTCTTGGTATATGTTCTTGCTGTTGCGGCCATTTTCACCGTCAGCTAAACTTGCACATTTCCTTCGAGCCCTTGACGTTTGGGGGCTCGACATTTGACGTTTTTTTGAAGATGCTACTGTAAGTTACTAGGTATCACTCATGCCTGCCTAATTATACCCAATATCCGGCATAAATGAAATCATGATAAGTGAAAAAGATAGCGCAACTTTGACACTCCTGTAGCAGGTGTTTAAAATTTCACGGTCAGTTCGGAACACTCGCCCAGGTACAAATTACGATGTTCATAGTCGCCTGCTACCGCTATACATGTACGGAAAGCTAGAGGAAATAAATAAAAAGATGATGCGCGGAATCGTGCGCATTACGGATCAATAATCGAACAGATGGGCAAGCATTCAATCAGCTTTGCGGCTCGCGAGGTGTATCAACTAGCGTGTTCGCATACCTTGAGTTCATTTGTAGATTATGGGGGTGAGGGGGGTGAGGGGGCGCCTTGTAGACCGATAGTCGATTTCCTTCACAAAGATTGGTTAAGGGGGAAAGTTTGTGTTTAAGTGATTAATGACAGCGCTCACAGAGGGGGACTTGAAGTTGTCAAATACAACGTAGTGCGCACTTAAAACAAGGATCGTCTGATTGGATGACTAGAGTTGACCAATCGCATCGCAAACTGTTGCAGGCTGCTATGGCGTGGCTCTCTGTTCTGTCACAGCCCCATCAAATTTAAGCTGCAAACCAATCTGACACTGGATAAGCATCCTCATACACCGAGAATCGAACGAGAGGAGTGAGCAACGAACCCCAGAGGCCCAGGGTCCTTTTCTCGCTCGCAGGATAGGATTGCGAGGGATATGGATGTTATGATTCCAAGGCGTTCGACTTTGACGCGCCGGCCCAAGTCGGCGGTAAGTTTTCTTGATAGAGCAATCCACGTGTCCTCTGAGATCGAGATTTTGATTCGTATCCGACATCGACTGGATTACCAAGTACAATGATCAATCGTGAATGATCGCGGTCAACATGGTTATAAGTCTGCATGAGTCGGTCCATGTATGCATCGGCTCATTTGGCTGCGCCACGGGGTTCTTTCCTTGGCTACCTGATAGCGACGTGGTGACTTTGGGACTCCTGCGTGTTAAACAGGACTCGCCGATAGAGAGGACATCGTGATGTGTGATGCTCATGCTGGAATAGCTTGGGGAAATTTGCTGGTCACAGTTTGATTGGGCACATTTTTGTTTCTTGTACAAACAAAATTGGGTCCACTGAGGACGGATGCACCGATGTGCGAGATTGATTCGCTTCACATCATGGGGCAAGACCTGAGAAAGGTCAAATACCAGCCAAGACACCCAAGCTGAAGTGATCACTGTTACCCGTAAATGAGCCGATTGGAGCTCGATTAGAGGAAAGATACGGGGTGAGCTTTTACTTTTGAAGGTGAGGTTTACGAAATGCCAAATCACCTGTTTCGCCTTATTTCGCTGTCTCCGCTTCTTTCTGCCGTTAGCGTATATATAAACCTGAATGGCGGGTGATGCTGGAGGGCACTTGTCCATCTCCAAGTATGTACATAGCCGCATCGCACTATCTCCCAAGACTCAAAGTGGGCCACTCTTTATTATCAATGGGATCATAGATGCGTAAGTGCGGGTTGGACTTTTTAGTCACGAACAGGCACAAGACCCCGTCACACTTATATCGACCCACGCAAGCTTCAAGTGTGGGTTTGCATAAGACCACGGGAGGGTGAAGGCCAGCTGCAGAATCTAGTGTGGGTTAGTCAAGGATCTGTGGTGCAAGTGCTGTGAAGAAACCAAATGTTGAGTTTGCCCCATATTTTGCTTCACCATTTGGGATTATTTTCTGTCTCTTTTGTTTTTTGTAAAAGGAATTGATAAAAGATGATTGTACAAAGATGATCCAATTCAAGTGAAGGGCTCATGAGTGACACAAGCAGAGGGGCAACATAAGGGACATAACTCATCCTCAGTACCAAATATAGAGCTTTGATCCTATAACATGTCAGCGGTATGGAATATGTACCCAGTGCCTTTGGAACAACTCCTAGATGCCTCCGAGTTGCGGATTGCAAGAAGTGAGGGTGTAAGTGTGAGGGCAGAATCTTGAAAGTACTGTTTGGGGAAAATTGTGCTCAGAAACTTGAACCCTTCAGCACACTCAATCAGAAATCTTAACATTCCTTCTTATTTACTGATTTGAGACTGACTAAAACACTGTTTTCTTCATTGGCCATCAAATCAATATGAACCAAAGGATACATCTTGGATGTGGTATTTGACAGTTTCATCTTTTGCATGTTTATTCCATCAGGTAGTCTGGTTGAAGAAGCAATTCAACAGGGTGGTCTGAGAACCCCACTACAGACTCCAGAGCTCCTAGGAATCAAGGCACACATTGCAAACATTTTTCTACACTACATATCCTTCACTGCAGTTTAAATTCATGAAAACTTGATACAGTCCCTTGCTCCTCCCTGGTTGGAGCAAAGGGCTTGGCTGAGGAAGACATTTGTAGCATTGCAAGTGTGAAGACTTTTGAATGCCAAAAACAGGCTATGGATTTCACAGCAAACATGAGGAAATAAAAAACTTTTACATTGTGTGTCTCAATAGTAGCTCTCTCAGCGGTCCTGGTGATTTGTGTCAGCCCTGAGTACATGTGGATGTACCAAAGACTAACTTGAACATATAACCAACACAATCATAGGGTGTGATGTTGTCATATGAAGGTGTGAATGTAAAGTTTCTTCTGTGTATGAGGAAAATCCAAACACCACTTACTCAAGACTAGCAAGGCTTCTGGGGGTGACTGAACCTTCATCACAAAAATGATGATTTTGTCATAGGTGTTGCAACAGCTAGTTGTCAGCTTGATTTTGATGATATCTTCTCCTCTCAATTAGGGTACTGGGGGCTCCAAATCTTCACACATCAAATAACAAACAAAATCTTTTCTAACTGGAGAAGTGCTATGCTTGATCTTCCAATACATTGCCAAAATTTTGATCAAATCTCACACTGGCCATTCTGACCTGCAATTTCATCATGAGATCTAGTCAAATCGCCTTGTTCTTGTTGTTGATTTCCTCTCATTAAGCACACACATTCTCCCATTATATCACAAAGGCAGTTGATGTGTGCTTGCTGACAGGAAAAAACAGATGGACACAGGACTCCCTCAAATGTCAAATTCCCATTGTTTGGAGACACTGTACCTCAACTCTGTCAAAATTCATGTTCCTCTAATCCCATACAACATGCCCACTGTTGGCTTGCATGTTGATGGCATGCACAAACCCTCTTTTCAAGCAAAAAAGGGGACCACAGACTTCTTTTCAACATTTGAATGTCACACAATGATCCTTCAAGCTGAAAAATCAGGAGCAGTGGGATTCTTGATTATCTGTGGGAACTCTCAGGTTATCATACAGACCTGGTTATTTACATGTTTGAATTTTTCATATCCTTGTAGCCAGACCCACCAGTTCACCTCTGCTGCACATGGTCCAGGTGGCCATAAGCTTAAGACCTCCATCAGCCCATAGCCTTTCAACCTTGCCACACTTATGAACAACTTCACAAACCCCTCTTATGAGGGGTTTAAAATCTTGAGCAAATCAACTCTAGCTTTATTGCCTACCAATTCAATATGAACAAAAAGATGCTATTCTTGTCTCTGAGGATTTCTTACGACTTCCGCACACCTATTCTATTGGAAAGTATTGTTGAAGGAGGAAATGAAGTTGATGACTGGAGCCTGTGTGACCTTGGATGCTATCAAATTGGCCATGGACTTCAATTTGGACAATCAACTCCTTCAGTATAGTTCAGCCCAGAAGAACTTGCAAGATTGAAAAGGAATAACTTAAAATGACATTGTGTTAGATTTGCAAGAGACAGGAATAACAAGATCACATGTGAATAATTCAAGTGTTATGTAGCTGAGATTCTTGATGAGACTATCAAATTTGAATTGCAAACCATCTAAAACAATACAGATTCAAAGCACTACTAGATAAACACGAAAAAGAATGGACCTTCTAAATCTTGTAAATATGTCCAGAATAAGCAATGTTGGGTACTTTCCCAAAAGTATAAGACAAAACATTTGTTCTATCATAAAAATTCTTTTCATATTAACCAAATGAAGAGATTCTCATCTTGATTCAAACCACAACCCTACTGACTCCAAAAGTGTAGGTGTCATTCAATGCCAAAGACCTATGAGTCTGTGTTACTTGGTTACTCTACATGTTAACTCAGATACAATTGATCTATATATCAAGTAAGAGAGAGGAGTCAGAGGATATTTGCCAATCAAACTTGATATATAAGCTAAAGGTGATGGGGAAATTGTTCTAACCAAAGTAATGAGAATGAGTGTTTTCTAGATTAAGTCAGGAGACATATAAATCATTCCCATTCAAATAAATAATCCAAAGTCAATGAGACATGAGATTTACTCAAGTGTATCAGAACAACAGGAGTGGCATAAGGTCACAGGTACTTCAGTCCTGGATGTATGTTAGACATGTGGGTTGAAAAGTAGTTAGGATAGAAGCATTGAGCTAACAGTCCTGTACATGTTTAACTTTCAAGTAATTTTCCAGGTGGGGTATGAGAATTCCCGGCCAAAATCCAGATTCCCCTACCCAAAAAATCAACCCCCACAGAGTTTTTGAATTTTTAGTACTAAGGTGAAAACCCCCAATGTTGCCATGGTGGTCTATTGAAATTCAAATTGTTATTTGCTTCAAGGCCCAGTTTGAGACTTACAAACCTCCTTGAACCTCATAAACTCAACAGAGCCTCATGAAAGCCTTCTGCATGAGCACGTGTAACTTCCAGTGTTGCTTTCCTAGAACAAAGTAGTTCTGAGATGAGCTTTGGCAACTATGGGAGTGATCATGGCTTGATAAGTCAGTTGCCCCTCAGAGTTAGATATCATCAAAAATTGATGTATTGGAAACCCAAGTTACTCAAAGTCTACAAAAGTTACAAGATCAAGCCACTTCAAGGATGCATGACACTACAGTTATAAGTTGATGCCTATCACAAGATCTCCAGGCATAGCCTGGAGGAGAAACCAAGCTGGGATACCCGCGGGTTGTTCACGGTCCGGGTCAGCGTAATGTGACATGTCACCTGCCCTGTCACATTCCGAATTCACAATCAAGTTCGAGTTGTGTGGCAGTCGTTGAACCCTCAACACCAATCATCGGTTTCTAGAGAACTCACTCAGGTCGCTTCTCAGCATTCAATAAAACATGGGTGAGTGCGCTCCATTGAACATGAATCTAACTTGCGTTCTAACTTATGCTCCTTAATTCCACGCGATACGTCATAGATTTTCAGGTCAGCTTTTCCAAACGCATGTCGTCCCGCATGAGTACAAACAATTGATTGTTCTGCTTTTCTCGCCTTTCTCCATCATAGAACCGAGTAGGATCGAAATTTGGAGGTGGAGGAGTTGCAGGTGCAAGTGAAGCCAATGTAGACCGACGAGAAAGATTACGAAAACTTGCACTAGAGACGATCGATTTAGCCAAGGTCTGATCAGAAAACATTTACACGTTCAAAATGCTCGATGAATTCTTGCTGAGAACTTTTGTTTTTGATTATTAGGACCCTTACATATTGCGAAATCACTTAGGAGGTCTAGAATGTAGATTATGTTTAACTTTACACACGAATGAAGGATCTTACTTAGCACACACACAAGGAAAGAAACATCAAACCAATCTTGCAAGAAGAGCAGCCAAGGATGCCAAAGATTCATCATTATATCAATCTTCACTTTTGGCTCAACAAGCTGCTCAATCTCGCTTAACGATTACTAAAAAACAATTCATCAAGATCGGTTCACCTGGTTATCAAGTCACAAAAGTCAGAGATCCGATCACTGGTCAATTAGGTTTACTTTTTCAAATTCATTATCCACAAATTGCCAATGAAGTTAAACCGAGACATAGGTTTATGTCTAGTTTTGAACAACATGTCGAAACTGCCGATCGAGCTCATCAATATCTTCTAGTGAGTGAAATACGTTTTTGCTCCAAATCTAGAGCCATGTGTCGATGAATCTAATTGTGAATGTTGAATTGGACTTCACATTTTGACTCTTTCTAGATTGCAGCAGAACCTTATCAGACTATCGCATTCAAGTTACAATCACAGGAAATCGATAACTCAGAAGGCAAATCTTGGAATCACTGGGATCTAGAGTAAGCATGCTACTTCACGAAATCCCATAAGAGTTCTACAGGCTTACGTTTGTGTTTCTTGACAGTACAAAGACGTATAGCATGCAATTTCTGTTTGCATGAACTGTCTCCTTGAGGCAATAAATCAAGACACTGAAAGAATGTAAGTTAAAAGACATGGAAGGCCATGGATCTGATACCTGAGAATGTTTTTATTGGGACATGTTCCTTGAAGTCCACTCAAGTTTATGTTTCAGTGATTAAACCATAATATTCAATGGTTTTACCATTTAGTATCACAAATTGTCAATGTTGTCTATGTTTTTCACAATGTATAATTAATTTCTTAGCTGATCATGATCATCAAAGCAGAATTCAAAAGTTGAAAGAGAAAGAAATCAGAAAGGTTTCCTCTGTGATCATTCAAATGTTTGATAACTTGACCATGTCCACAGTAGCTTGCTATCACTATGCCAAATTGCAAAACTTACCACTTGGTTTAGAAAATGGAGAAAACATAGAAAATTATAGAGAAGCTGGGAAGGGTCAGAAAAATATGAAAAAATAATGGTTGAGTCCTGTGGTGTATTCGAATCACCTTGCATATTTTTTCATATTTTTACAACCACAATGCAGAAGATGTCAGAAACCCAATTTCGGTCCAAAATTGGCATGTATTGGAACAGTGACCTTGCAAGACCCATAAAATCATCAGTTTTGCTCCAACACATGTAGTGTCTTGACATTCTGAATGCTACATTCTGGCTTCAAAATCTGGATACACAAAGCAGCTCTGTGTCTCTAAGAATGGGCAAGTTATACCAACATCAACGGTGGCACGGCTAAGCTAAGTTAGCGCTTAGTGGTGCATTAGCTTAGCAATTTTTTGTCGCTAAGCTAGCGCTAAATCCTTAGTGCACTCAAGCTAAGCTAATTGAATTTTGATTTTTCCTTTAGCAGGTCTGCGCTAAGCTAAGCCGGGAGCTTAGCTATCAAAAAAATACATGTTTTAAGTGCAAAAAGGGCCGCTAAGCCGCTATTAGCAGTTTAGCGGCCAATCAATTGGCTTAACGGGTGTCATTTTACGCCCGCTAAGCTAATGGCTTAGCGTTAGCAGAAATCCGCTAAGATTAGTGTTAGCGGATTTTTCCTTAGCGGCTTCTAGCTAAGCTAAGCCAAGGTGACAAAAATCCTTAGCTTAGCTTAGCGAGCCACTGTTGCCAACATCCTTACACAGCAGGAAACCTATATAAGTGTAGAAATCATTACTACAATGGCTTCAGCCCCTTGATGCACATTGTAGACCCATCACATGGCTCTTATAGATTGCAAGTATCCAGGTGATTGAACAAAAGTTCTCATATTTTGAGACCTTGAAGTTTTCTGCCCAAATTCTGATAGTTTTGGAGCAAATTTGAGTCTCTGACCAGATATCCTGCATGATCATTTTGACTTGAGAAATCTTAAAAATCAAAGGTAAACTGGTGTGGTGTATACTGGTGAAACAACTTGCGCCTGGCCACTGTACCCTTGCCCAGTCTGCACCCCGAGATCAATTTGGGGCTCTATTGTTGCCGGGAGGGCTTTACGGGATCAGCTGAGGCCAGCTTGCAGCTTTTGAATCTTGGGTGTGGCAAAGTGATGAGGACCGAAGTTCTCAAACACAAATTTGGGTTGATGTTCCATGATCAAGTGTACTCTTTTGTACATAATTAAGTCTGGACTAGGCACTTGCTTCTTAATCATGACCAGATTATTCATTTTCTTGTTGTGCTGAACCCTCAATTCTTACTTCAGTTTTGATTAACTTAGCTTATATTTAATTACAGACCAATGAAGTGGCATAGTAGGAACACCCTGGATGTGTGGACTGGTGATAGAGATGGATAAATGAAATGGATAAGACTTTCTGTATAAATAGCTTCTTATTGTAGCCTTGTATTCCTTTTCTCACTCATTCATTGTTGCTACTTCTCATTTTGTCTAACACCTTCCTAAACCTTCTCCATCAACTTCACATGGTCAGGTGTATATTTATGCTTTGTTATTGACTTAGTTCAACAAAAGCCTTATAACATACACTAGCACTTTAGGTGTGTATTTCTGCTTTGTTGTTGACTTAGTCCAACAAAAGCTTTATAACTTACACTAGTGCTTTAGTTTTTGCTCCCACATATTTGAGAGCATACAAGATATTATCAGTACCCTACTCCGTTAGGAAATGGCAACTTCATCACCAAATTCTCCACCTACAACTACTAAGAAATCACCATCGTTCAATCTTCCAATGAATCCGGGTCTTGCCTCTGTGGTAACTGCGCTAGCCGCTGCTCTTGATGTGATTTGGAGGCAACTTACAGATACTAACTATACTGTTTGGACAACATGGATGGAAATTGAGCCAAATAACTTATCTTTGGGGGCGTGGTAGATGGATCTTTTATTCTCAAAGAGAACTCACTGGCTGAGGACCTTGTTGCTTTTTTGAAATTTGAACAAAAGGTGTATAATTTTTTTCTTGAAACTTGTACCAGAACAATTTAGCTTTGGCCACTAAATTTACTGCCAAAACAGGAACTGCAAAAACTGGTGCAGGTATCTGGAATCAGCTTAAAGAAAAGTGTATGCCTAATAATGTTTTTCATCAAACTCATGTGTTCTATGTCATTCTTCACATCAAATACACATCATCTCTTCAATTCAGTAAAGGAGGGCATACTTCTCTGGCAACACTTTCTCAAATCGGTCTTGATATTCCCAAAAAATTTCTTGTTGTCTTGGTTCTTGCTCATCTTTTACAATCTATTCAGTCTTTTATTGGAGTTCTCTCACACTCTATGAGTCCAAAGACAACTGTCAATTTTGTTTTAAATCAAATTGAGCAGGATGCTCATCAACAAGCTACAATGGACAATGAATCTCCTTCTATTGCTATGGTCTCAGCTGGCAACAAGAACACTGGTCACAGGTGCACTCACTGCAAACATCCTGGTCATTTAAAACCAAGGTTCTGGGCTACTCATCCTGTACTCAAACCAGCTTACACACAAGAAAGAAAGATGGCTGTGGTTGTGGCTACTTCTGTTGTTCTGATGGTGTCTACCTCTTCTGCACCATCTCCTGCTCCTGTGTTGACATCTATTTACACTGGCATGGACTTAGATAATCCTTTGTCAGCATCATCTTTTCCATCATCAAACACCACTTTAAGCACTTCACTTGAACCACCTTCTACTCTTCTTGATTCAGGGTGTTCTGATGTTATGTACACTACTAGTCAAGAAGCCTTCTCCACCTACTCTGAAATCTTATCCAATCTCAACATCGGAGAAGTTGGAAGAGCTGTTCAAGCTATTGGGAAGGGTGTGGTTGCTTTTCATGGTGTTGGTGATGTTATTATCTTCCAAGACACTCTTCATGTTCCTGTTCTTCTTACAACCATATTCCACTTTCTCTGATATGGCAAAAGAGCTCTCTTTGTGTATCATGGTGATAACACCTTCTCTGTCCTCTGTGGTGATCAAACTATTCTTAATGGGGTTGTCAGAGATTGTTTACTTTTTTCTAATATTTCTATTAATCATCTATCATGCAATAAAAATCCTGCTTTCTCATCCAACCTATGGCATGACCGCCTTGGTCATATCAATCATGACTGTGTAACCTCAACTATGTACTGAAGGCATTGAAACTGTACCTGCAAAGGATTTTTTGGAAGCCTGTGCTACCAGTAGGTCTACCCACTTACCATTCACCAGGAAGACTTCCCGCCCTTCTGGTCCTCTCAATGTTGTACACACCAACTTGTCTGGAAAAATCACTCCATTGACTCCATCTGGCCGCAAGTATTCCATGAAAATCACTGATGGATTTTCCTCCTATGGATTGATCCATCTGTCATGTTTCAAAAATGAAGCTTTGGATAAATATAAAGAAAGGAAGGTTCAAGTCAAACACATGACTGAACATGTGGTCAAGAAGATTGTTAGTGATGGAGGCGGCAAGTATGTCAACAATCTATTTAATGAATATCTTAAAACTGAAGGTATCATTCACTACATCACCACTTCTCATACGCCTCAACAAAATCCCTTCTCTGAACATGGAAATTGAACCACAGACAAGAAGGCCAGGAGTATGTTACACCAGGCCTCAATGCCTGCTTTTATGTGGGCTGCAGTTGTTCTTACAGCGGTCTATTTTGAGAACCATACTATTTCCAGGTCATGTAATGGGGTAACACCGTTTGAAGCTCTGAATGGTTCCATTCCTTCTGTTGGTCACATCCACATTTTTGGGTGTGCTGCATTTTACCATCTTACTCATGGATGTGACAGGAAGTTTGGACCTTGGGCCAAAAAAGTAATTCTTGTAGGCTTTGTTGAAAGTATGAAAAACTGCAGATTTTACATTCCGTCCACTGGGGCCATCACTATTTCTCATGATGTACAATTCAATGAATCCAAATTTCATTTTCTTGTGATTTTCAACAATCCCAACACAACTATTGTACCTTTTACTGAGGAGGAGACTTTATCTTGTGAACCTTTAAAATTTTGCCTTCATTCACCTGCTCTCACCAAAGAAATATGACAAGAAAAAAAGTACAAGATCACTGCCAGTGCAACTGCGCTTATCTCAAGAATTGGAAAATCAATTGATGAATCAGCAAATCTATCCACTCTTGATCTGGAACCCAACCCACCTTCTTATTCTCAGACACTTCTTACTTGGAACTCCTTGAAATGGCAACAGGCAATGTTTGAAGAATTTGACTCTTTTGCGGCCAAAAATGTTTTTGAAATTGTTGATGTTGTTCCCACTGATCAAAAGCCAATCTCAACTCCTTAGATTTAAAGCTAGATGTGTAGCTTGTGGTTGCCTCCAAGAAGAAGGCACTTAAGGATCTTGACAAAACTTTCTATTCTACTGGACACTTTGTAACTCTTTGAGCTCTCTTTGGTCACACTGCCACTGAAGATCTTGATATTATTCAAGCCAACTTTGTGACTATATTCCTTAACTCAGAGCTTGGTGAAGGAGAAACAGTGTAGATCCAGATACCTGACGGTTTTGTTGACTGGGTCAAATCACTTCCTCCCTCTTCACCCTTTTGCACTTGG